CCCTCCAATGGCCACTGCGGCCGGTGCACCGCGTTGATCCGATGGCAGGAGCCAGGAGCCAGGAGCCAGGTGCTTTTCCTGGTCTCCCATGGGGTGCAGGGCCCAAGCACCTGGGCCATCCTCCACTGCACTCCCTGGCCACAGCAGAGGGCTGGCCTGGAAGAGGGGCAACCGGGACAGAATCTGGTGCCCCGACCGGGACTAGAACCTGGTGTGCCGGCGCCGCTAGGTGGAGGATTAGCCTAATGAGCCGCGGCGCCGGCCGGTGTTTGAACATTTTTGAACTTTTTCTCTGTCAGTTTAAAAATTCTAATGGGTTTAGGATATGTGCAAGAAATCTCCCTCATGCTGCCCCCACATTTAAAAACTGAAAGTAACTTTTTTATGCCAACTTCCCTTGAAAATATAAAAATTTTAGCTAAGCGGAGCTTGACGTTCGTTCGTTCTTTTTTTTTTTCTTTAAAAATTTATTTATTTATTTGAAAGCATTACATTGAGAGAGAAGGAGAGGCAGAGAGAGAGAGAGAGGTCTTGCGTCTGCTGGTTCACTGCCCAGTTGGCCACAATGGCTGGAGCTGTGCCGATCCGAAGCCAGGAGTTTCTTCTGGGTCTCCCACACAGGTGCAGGGTCCCAAGGACTTGGGACATCTTCCGCTGCTTTCCCAGGCCACAGCAGAGAGCTGGATCAGAAGTGGGGCAGCGGGACTTGAACTGGTACCCATGTGGGATGCTGGCACTGCAGGCAGTGACTTTACCCACTACACCACAACACCAGCCCATTAACTTTCTTTAAGAAATATATATTTGGCTGGTGCCGTGGCTTACTTGGCTAATCCTCTGCCTGCTGGTTCCAGTCCCGGTTGGAGCGCCAGATTCTGTCCCGGTTGCTCCTCTTCCAGTCCAGCTCTCTGCTGTGGCCCGGGAGTGCAGTGGAGGATGGCCCAAGTGCTTGGGCCCTGCACCCACATGGGAGACCAGGAGGAAGCACCTGGCTCCTGGCTTCAGATCAGTGCAGCGCTGGCTGTAGCAGCCATTTGGGGGGTGAACCAACGGAAGGAAGACCTTTCTCTCTGTCTCTCTGTCTCTCTTTCTCTCTCTCTCTCACTGTCTAACTCTGCCTGTCAAAAAATAAAAAAAAAGAAAGAAAAAAGAAAATAGTTAATGTGTCAAGGTAGGATTTAATTTTTTAAGATGTAAGTCTGGGAAATTTAGTTGAAATAGGGGTTGTAAGTTACATTTATTTCATATTATTTGCAGCGTTAAAATTTATTGACATTGATGAATAGTAACGCTACCAAACCATGAACAAAAGCAATAGAGGAAAAGTATGGGCTAAGAAGAGATAATAGTATATGAGACTCAAAGGACATTTTCTATTGAGTGACACAGTTAACCGCCAATACAGGTCTCTCGGTTACTTGTTCTTTTTTTGAAGGCTTATTTGTAAGTCAGAGCTACAAAGAAAGAGGGAGAGACAGACAGAGATTTTCCATCTGCTAGTTCACTTCCCAGATGGCTGCCAGGAGTTTCATCCAGGTCTTCTACATGGGTGGCAGGGGCCCAAATATTTGGGCTACCTTCCATTGCTTTTCCTAGCCCACTAGCAGGGAGCTGGATTGGAAGTGGAGCAGCCGGGACTCATAGGGGATAGCGGCATTGCAGGTGGTGGCTTTATCTGCTATACCACAATGCCAGTTCCTTCTGTTCTCTTTAATGGAAAGTTATATTCTTAAAATTATGATTTTTCTGTATAAAAAAAGTTGAAATTTACCTTCTTGTTAAATAGGTGTAACTTTTGCTGTGTAAATACTCAATTTTGGGTCAGACTTAAGCACACATGGATTTCTTCTGTTATTTTTATTATTTATTTAAAGACTTACTTACTTATTTGAAAGAGTTAGAGGGGAGGGGGAGGGATTGAGCTTCCATCTGCTTGTTTACTCCGCAAATGACCATAACAGCTGGGCCTGGGCCAGGTGAAAACTAGGAGGCAGGAGCTCAATAGGTTAATCCTCTGCCTGTGGTGCTGGCACACCGGGTTCTGTCCCTGTCGCTTCTCTTCCTGTCCAGCTCTCTGCCATGGTCCGGGAGTGCAGTGGAGGATGACCCAAGTCCTTGGGCCCTGCACCCACATGGGAGACCAGGAGAAGCACCTGGCTCTGGGCTTTGGATCAGTGCGGTGCGCTGGCCACAGCGGCCATTGGGGAGTGAACCAATGGCAAAGGAAGACCTTTCTCTCTGTCTCTCTCTCACTGTCCATTCTGCCTGTCAATAAAAAAAAAAGATTTTCCCTAACCCAGTTAGAAATGGAAAGTGGATTCAACCGAGTGAACAGTGTTCTGTTGTAGGTTGCCATATGGACAGGAACGACTTCTAAGAAGTTGTCAGCATCACTGTTGTTACTGCCCCGTATTTTGAGCACCAGTATTACATAATGCAAGAAGTTCAGAAAAACATTGTTGACTGTTTTTTTCTGTCACGTTCTTTTGAGGAATCTCTAGTGACATCATATGGTATCTTAGGGTTACGTGGCAACTCATACAAAAACCCTGGAATTTCTCATGTTTTATACATATCTGGTAAAGTTTTTTTTTTTTAATTAATTTATTTGAAAGTTACTGAGAGAAAGAAGAGGTAGAGATAGAGATAGATTTTACACATGCTGGTTCACTTCCCAAATGGCTGCAATGGCTGGAGTTGGGCCAGGGTAAAGCCAGGAGCCTGGAATTCCATTTGGATCTCCCACATAGGTGGAGGGGTCCAACCACTCACATATTTTTTTTTTTTTTTAACTTTTTAAAAGATTTATTTATTTATTTGAGAGGCAGAGTTACAGAGAGAGGGAGAGATTTCCATCTGCTAGTTCACTCCCCAAATGGCCGCAGTAGCCACAGCTGAGCCGATCTGAAGCCAGGAGCCAGGAACTTCTTCTTGGTCTCCCATGTAAGTGCAGGCCTTAGCAGAGAGCTGGATGGGAAGTAGAGCAGAGGAGCAGCCGGGACACAAACTGGTGCCCATATGGTATATCAGTGCTGCAAGCAGAGGCTTAGCCTACTATGCCATAGTGTTTGCCCAATGCTCACACGTGGTGCATTAGCCAGGAGCTCTTTTCTGAAGTGGAACACCTTCCCCTATGGGAGGTGGTTCAAGTCCCAGCTGCTCCACTTCTAATCTAACTTCCTGCTAATGTGCCTCAGAAATCAGTGGAAGATGGTCCGAGTGTTTGGGCCCCTGCTCCCGTGTTGGACACCCAGGTGGAGATCCAGACTTCTGGCTTTGGCATTGCAGTTTGGGGCAGTAAAACAGTGGGTGGAAGATCTCTGTCTCTGTAACTCTGCCTTTCAAATAAATAAATTTTTAAAAAAAGGATTACTTAAATTCACCTTTGCAGTTTTATGGTTGATGTATTCACTGGCTCTCCATTAAAAATATTCTTATTTTCTAAAAAAATTTTTTAAATTAAGAGCTGTCAACTCAATCCAGGTCTCTCCACATGTTACTTGACAGCCCTGCTGTCTTTTAGAGTTTGCATTGCTGGAAGCAGGAGTTGGGAGCTAGAGCCAGGAATCAAACCTAGACACTCCAGTGTGGGACACAGCTGTCTTAACGACAAGGCTTATGCCCCCCCCCCCCCCCCCCCAGTATCCTTCTGATCAGGGAACAGTGATATTTAGTGATAGCTAACTATGCCTTCCTAGTAGTGGTTGAACTAGAGTCTTTCTTTACTTGTTCTTGCAAGTTCGGTTATAAAAGTATTTTCCATCATTTCATCTCATGTATAAAGCCCTCAGGAACTTGTGAGATAATTTTCCAGCAACAATCTATGCTGATTGTGTTTTGCAAAAACAAAAAAAGAACAACAAAAATAGTGAAAAGTATTTACTTTAATAGTTTTATGCTTTAATTCTGAAACAATTTTGCAAGAATAGTACGGGACAAAGAACTTTCCTATACCCTTTATTCAGTTCTACCAGTTCTACCAATTTTATACCACATTTGGTTATCATTCCCCCATGCGTATGCATGCTACTTTTGTCCTCTTTGAGAGTTGGTTCCATATATCATGTTCCTTTGCCCCATAATGTTTTTGTGTTTATTTATACAAACAATTATTCTCTCTTTTTTAACAGCAATATAGTCGTCAAGTTTTTAAGCTTTGTTTTAAAAACTTAAGAGACTGGGGCTGATGTTGAGGTGCCCTGGGTTAAACTACTGCTTGCGTCAGAAGCATCCTATATTAGACCATTGGCTGGAGTCCCAGGTGCTCTGCTTCCAATCCAGCTTCTTCATGGTGTGCCTGAGAAGGCAGTGAAACATGGCCCAAGTGCTTGGGCCCCTGCTACCCCCTTGGGAGACTTTGATGCTGTTCCTGGCTCCTGAATTCAGATTGGCACAGCTCTTGCTGTTGTGGCCATTTAGAGTGAGCCAGTGGATGGAAGGTATTCTCTCTCTCTCTATTTCTCTCTCCTCCTCCATCCCCCTCTCTCTCCCTCTCTCCCCCTCTCTCCCTCACTCCCCCCCCCTTCTTCCCTCCTGTCTCTGTCACTCCGCCTTTCATATAAATAATCTTAAAAAAAAAAAAAAAGAGAGAGAGATAAATACTTGGGCTGAGAGCCAGGAACTCAAACCAGGTCTTCCATGTGGGTGGTAGGAATCCAATTACTTGAGCCATCACTACTGCTTCTCATGATCTGCATTAGCAGGAGGCTGGAGTCAGCCAGAGCTGGGTATTGAACATAGCTCTTTTTTATGGTATGTGGGCATTTTAACCTTTGTCTTAACCTCTGGACTGAGTTATCCCCTCAGATTTTGATGACTTCACACTGATACTTCGTAGTGTATGTTCCATTTTAGTCAATTGTCAGAATTTCCTTTAGAGTGATTTTTCCTAGTCTAGGATCCTGCCCAAGTGTGTGTGCATTATATTTAGTTTCTATTTAAAGATTTATTTTTAATTGGTATTAAACTGTTGCACTGATTTTTTTTTTTTCTTTTGACAGCTAAACCAGGAGGACAGGTGAAATGTCAATATATTTCTGCTGTGGATAAAGTTGTGTTTGTGGATGATTATGCAGTAGGCTGTAGGAAAGACCTCAATGGAATCTTGTTGTTAGACACTGCTCTGCAGACTCCAGTTGCAAAGCAGGATGATGTGGTTCAGCTTGAATTACCAGTTACGGAGGTAAGTTGAAAGAAGGTACCACTGTATTCTTCTATTTAATACAGTCTCAGATTGTTGATTATTAATTGTTTTGCATTTGACAGAATGATATGATTAGTTGATAAACCAGTATAGTGTAGGAGGGATCTTCATAAAGTTTGTACAGAATGCATATTATACATTTATTTCAAATTTTTATTGCACCAAAATAAACTTAACTTTTAATTCCTCTTTTCCACAAATTTTTCAAGTACCCTCCTATTTCCCATCTTTAGGACATATAAAGTGTTAATGTATACATTTTAAGTGTAGTACCTTTAAGTATTTTGGTTTACAGTTTTCTCTTTGGATGGGCTTTTTTCTTTCCAAGATACCACATTTATCTAGTTATATTTCATATGTCATGTAACAGTAGTGAGTGTCATGTAACAGTAGTCTGTTACATATTACTATTGAAAATATGTTGCTAGAAGTTTAATTTCCAAAAATGGAGAAGCTATGTTTTTGCCATCAGAATACCTGAATCTGGGGACATGTCTAAAATCTTAGGATAGACAAATACTAGTTCTACTTACTTGAAACAGTTTTTCTCTCCTAATAATAAGAAATATAGACCAGGCAGAAGGGTTAAAAAAATACATAGATATATGTAGACTAACTGATATCTTAATAAAGGATATAATGTATTCAAAACATGAAAGGTAAAATTAAGCTATGTTCATCTTTTACAAAGAACTGAAGAATTACAGTGAACTATTTGAGTATTTATTAATTCCCAAGTCAGTATTTTTCTGCTACACTGGTTGTCATGCTATATATTGAGGTAGCTTCTACCTCCTCCCCCACCTTGTTTGCTAAGATTTCTACTGATGATTTTGTCTTTTTTCTTAAATAATTCCAACTCTGTTGTTCATGTAATGGGTTTATGGATCTTCTACAATCCCAGGCATCCTTTAATGCATCGCATCAGTCTGTCACCATTCTCTCTAAAGTATGGGACTCTAGGATTGATTTGATCAGTGTAGATGTATTTTTACTTATATCAACCATATATTTATTTTAAGGTAGTTCATGTTAAACATGTGGGTAACAGTGCAAAAGGCTTGTATTACATGGTGACTTTGAATGTCTCCTCTTAGGGCTTTGCATAGTTTGAGTATTGAGAACTCAATGCAGACTTTATATTTATCTCCTGAAAAATTTTTTTTACCTGTTTCATTTTTGCTCATTGTTGTCTGTTTTTCAGTTTTCATGTGATTTATAATAATCACTAAATTGAAACTTTCCTGTGGTAATACATGGAATACATTGCTTTATCTCATTCAGTTTTATAATAGATCTTTAAATCATTATTTGATTAGTTAGATTTTTTCCCCCAAGATTTATTTTATATATTTGAAAGGCAGAATTTCAGAGAGAGAGAAGGAGAGATAGAGAGAGATCTTCTATCAGCTGGTTCACTCCTCAAATGGCTACAGTGACCAGGGCTGGACCAAGCTGAAGCCAGGAGCCAGGAGCTTCATCCAGATCTCCCATGTGGGTGCAGGGAACCAAGGACTTTGGGATGTTTTCTGCTTTCTCAGGTTTATTAGCAGGAAGTTGGAATGGAAGTGGAGTAGCCAGGACTGATGCCCATATGAGATGCCAGTATTTGTGGATTAGCCCATTATGTCACAATGCTGGCCCTCAGTTATATTTCCTCCTTTTTTTTTTTTTTAATTTATTTTATTTATTTGAAAGAGTTACAGAGAGAGGTAGAGACAGAGAGAGAAGTCTTCCATCCATTGGTTCACTCCCCAGATGGCTGCCAACAGCCAGAGCTGTGCCGATCTGAAGCCAGGAGCCAGGAGCTTCTTCCAGGTCTCCCATGTGGGTGCAGGGGCCAAGGACTTGGGCCATTTTTTACTGTTATCCCAGGCTACAGCAGAGAGCTGGATTGGAAGAGGAGCAGTCGGGACCAGAACAGGTGCCCCTATGGGATGCTGGTGCCTCAGGCTAGGGCTTTAACCTTCTGTGCCACAGCACCGGCCCCTCCTTTTTTTTTTTTTTTTTTTTTTAATAGATTTATTTATTTATTTGAAAGAGTTTGCAGAGAAGCGGAGGCAGAGAGAGAGGTCTTCCATCGACTGGTTCACTCCCCAGATGGTTTCAACAGCCAGAGCTGCGCCGATCTGTAGCCAGGAGCTAGGAACTTCTTCCAGGTCTCCCTATGGGTGCAGAGCTGGATCAGAAATGGAGCAGCCAGGACTCAAATCGGTGCCCATTGGGATGCTGGCACCACAGCACCGGCCCCTGTATTTACTTTTTAAAAAGTCAGAGGAGTAGGTAAGCTTACTATGGTGCCGATCATAGTCATTACAAATAAGGATATCTGAATGAGATATGATTATACCTTTCTTGTGTTTAATTTTTGTCATCTTTTTTATTTAGGCACAGCAGCTCTTATCAGCATGTTTAGAAAAGGTAGATATTTCTAGTACGGAGGGTTACGATTTGTTCATCACACAGCTCAAAGATGGTTTAAAAAATACATCTCATGAGACTGCAGCAAACCACAAAGTTGCTAAGGTAAGAAGTCAAGATTACCTTATTTGGGTTTGTAATACAAGAGTTAACTTCATACTTTTACTTTTTGTTCCCCCTTCCCTTGGAAATGTTCTAATTCTAGATTTTTTTCTCTCCTGTAAAAAATAAAATGTGCTTTCAAGTCATCTCAAACTTGAAACTTTTTTAATTTTTGATTTGAGAGCCAGATTGCATTTGTGTGTATAGGGGAAAAAGGGGAGCGAGGGAAAGGGAGGGAGGGAGGGAGGAGAGGAGAGAACCTGTGCGTTGTGATCCACTAGTTCTCTCCAAATGCCTGCAATGACCAGGCCAAAACTGGGAGCCAGGAGCCCAATTGAAGTATCCTGTGTGGGTGGCAGGAATTCATCTACAGGAGCCTCCATCACCTGCTCTCTCAATATCTCAGTGGCAGGAAGCTGGAATGGGGAGCTGGACCTGGGAATTGAACCCATGCACTTTGATCTGGGACATGGGCATCTTATCTGTTAACCCAGGTACCTGCCCCCGAAACCTTTTTTTTTTTTAAAGATTATCTGAAAGGCAGAGCAACTGAGACACACACACACACACACACACACACACACTCGGAGAGAAGGAAAGGGGAAGGCAGAGAGACAGAGATCTGTCTGCTGATTCATTTCTCCAAATGGCTGCATCAGCTAGGGATGGGCCATACTGAAGCCTGGTGTCAGAAACTCCATCTCGGTCTCTCATGTGACTGGCAGTGGCCCAGGCACTGTGTCATCCTCTGCTGCCTTCCGAGACACATTAGCAAAAAGCTGAATTCGAAGTGGAGCAGTTAGGACGCTGATTGGCATTCCCAGATGGGATACTGGCACCACAAGCCGTGGCTTAACCTGCTGCATCACAATGTTAGCCACCGAAAATCTTTCTAACTCAAGTTTAACTTCAGCTTATGGGACCTGTTTTACTTACTGTGTTTTCTGAGGCTTCTCTAAATCTTCGTTAATGCCTCAATGCCCTGTTTTGGTTGGGAGGCTGAGGAAAGATGCTTCATTTTTAGATTATGAGCTTGAAAGAGAATGCAGTATCTTTGGCAATTGAATCATATTGTGCTTTTTGTTTTGTTTTGTTTTTAAAGATTTATTTATTTATTTAAAAGTCAGAGTTATAGAGAGGAAGAGAAATCTTCGATCCACTGATTCACTTCCCAGATGGCTGCAGTGACCAGGGCTGGGCCAGCCTGAAACCAGGATTTTCATCCAGTCTCCTGTGTTGTTAGTAGGGGCCCAAACACTTGGGGCTATTTGCTGCTGCTTTTCCCAGGCCATTTGCAGGGAGCTGGATCAGAAGTGGAGCAGCTGGGACATGAAGTGCGCCCACAGTGAATGCTGGCATCTCAGGTGGTAGCCTTACCTGCTGTGCCACAGTGCTGGCCCTTTGTGCTTCCTTTGAAGTTACTTCTATTCTGCTTGAGTAGGATGTCTGGAGGAAAAGGTGCTTCCTCACCTTACCTCATGGTAAGACCAATGAATTCCATAGCCAAAAACCCATTGCTACATTTTTATTTTTGCTTTGAAATTCTTTCTGTGGTGAGAGTCAAAGGTGACTAGAATATCATGATGATGTGAGGCCAGCACTGTGGTGCAGTGGGTTAAGTTGGTGCCTGCGACTCTTGCATCCCATCTGGGCAGTGGTTTGAATCCCTGCTCCACTTTCGACATAGCTCCTTGCTAATGGCCTGGGAGAGCAGCAGAGGGTGGCCCAAGTGCTTGATTCCCTACAACCACTTGGGAGACCCAGAAGAAGTTCCTGGCTCCTGGCTTTAGACTGGCCCGGCTCTCGCCGTTGTGGCCATTCGGGGAATGAACCAGCAGACGGAAGAGCTCTGTCTCTCCTGTTCTCTCTGTAACTCTGCCTTTCAAATGAATACACAAATCGTAAAGAAAAAAAAAAAAGACTATCAGGATGGTGCATTAAGGCATCTTGTTATCTCTCTGAGTGAGATCCCAGTGGAAAGAATGGGCCATCTAAGAAGGCAGTTCCTTTCTCTGAAGGGAGGAGAGAACTTCCACTTTGAATATGGCCTTGTCTAAATAAGGTCGGAGTTGGTGAAATCAAGAGGCTTCCATAGCCTTGGCAGTGCATGACAAGAGCCTCAGGTGATTACTGATGCCATAAATAAGAGTGTCAATTATTAAATCAACAATGGGAATCACTGTGCACCTGCTCCCCATGTAGGACCTCTGTCCTTAATGTGTTGTGCTATGAGAATTAACGGTAAAACTAGTACTCAAACAGTACTCTATACTTTGTGTATCTTTGTGGGTGCAGTCTGTTGAAATCTTTATGTAGTATATACTAAGTTGATCTTCTGTATATAAAGATAATTGAAAATGAATCGTGATGAAGAATGGGATGGGAGAGAGAGTGGGAGATGGGATGGTTGCGGGTGGGAGGGAGGTTATGGGAGGAAAGCTGCTATAATTCGAAAGTTGTACTTTGGAAATTTATATTTATTAAATAGAAGTTAAAAAAAAAAAGGGCATCTTGTTAGTCCACAGGCAGTGGTATGATGTTAAGGCAGAAACTTTGGGAACAGAACATGTAAATGCATACCCAAGATGCATACATGCTGCCCAGTCTGTGACTGGAGGAATCTGATATAATCAACTTGCCGTCAGATTCCTGGCTTTACCCTCTGAGAAATGGTGTCATTATTGGTAGTTCAGCTTTGGAAAGAGCTGTTGGATGATGAGGCAGTGTTCAGCAGCTGTAACCTGTAAGTTTGGTGCGGGGAAGTTCATGTCAATGGGCCTGTGCATAGCTTCTGTTTCTGTTGCCATGCATTTCTCCCTCAGATTTTCTTGTTTGGGGGTTTCCTCTGAGGGTCTGTCTGTGGAATGAGGAGGCATTGTAGTGGGAGTAGGTATTATGGAAGTCTGAGCTACTTGTTTATTCAGCATCTGCCTTTTGGGCTTCTCAGGACTGATCTCTTTTATCTGTTATTATATTAGAAAGGCAGAGAGAGACAGAAATAGGCAGACCGTTCCCATCTGCTGCCTCATTCCCTAACATGTCTGCAATAGCCAGGACTGGGCTGGGCTTGAAGCTGGGAGCTCAGAACTCAATCCAGGTCACCTATGTGGGTAACAGAGACCTAAATTCTTGTCTTGCTGGGACTTGAACTCAGGCATTCATCAGGGATGTGAGTATCCCAAGTGGCATCATTTATTATTTTTTTAAAGATTTATTTATGTGAAAGAGTTGCAGAGAGAGGCAGGCAGGTGAAGACACCTCTCCCATGTGATGATTTACTCCCCAGGTGGCTGCAGTGGCAGGGCTGCATCAGTTTGAAGCCAGGAACTCACCTGGTTTTCCTACAAGAGTGGCAGGGGCTCAACTCCTTGGGGCATTTTTCACTGCTTTTCTAGGCACATTAACAGGGAACTGGATCAGAAGTGGAGCAGCCAAGACTCATAAACGAGCCCCCGCATGGGATGGTGGCATTGCAGTTGGTGATTTTACCTGCTACTCCACAACGCTGGCCTCCCAACTGGCAGCTTAACTGCTGTGCCAAAACCCTGACTCAAGATTGATCTCTTCTGAAACATTTGATGAAGGATACTTACCGCCTGTTCCCATTAATGTGGTTTGGTCTGTCAGTTAACACTTGGGACATGATGGAAAGCTCTCACTGCATGATGTTTGTTTCATGGATGGGTATGAATCTCTTAGACCAGTGAGAAGCTAGCCAGCTGCTGTTTCTTAAAAAAGAAAACAGTTATCCTTGGGTGATTGTCCTTAGAGCATAATTTTGCTATGGACAAGTCGGTATCATCGAGTGTGCTTGTAAGGTAGAAGTGTTCATCCTTGTTGTTGCAGATGATTGAGTTGCCTTCTTTTTAGAGGCTGTAGAATATTCCACTGTTTTTATATACTATTTTTTCTTGATCTGTTTATCCATTACTTCCAAATCTTTGCTCTTTTGAATTAGAGGCTTTATTTTTTTGTAGGTTTCTGCTTTAAATGATAAAGTAATGGTGTAAAATGATTTGAGACTGATCATTAATTCTTTATTTGATAATGGCTATGATTTTACCTAAAGCTGTTGAGTACATTTTCCTTTGTTTATGCTCCCATTTTTTTCTAGTGGGCCACAGTTACATTTCATCTTCCTCATCATGTATTGAAGTCCATTGCCAGTGCCATTGTAAATGAACTCAAGAAAATAAATCAAAATGTTGCTGCCTTACCTGTGGCGTCCTCAGTGATGGACAGATTGTCTTACCTCTTACCTAGTGCACGTCCAGAACTTGGAGTGGGGCCAGGCCGTTCTGTAGACAGGTATGAACCTTGCTTATAAAGAGTGATGACAGCGAGGCTGAATTGATTAGTTTTGAGGTTAACAAAAAATAGGTATAAAATCTGATTGTCATCAACAAATAATCTCAAAATGTTTTGAAAACCAGACTGATTTCTTTCAGAATACATGCAGTTGATGTAAACTGTTACTTGAATTGCTGTTGTTAAAACAGTGTATCTTTTTTTTTTTTTTTAATTTTTTTTTGCCAGGCAGAGTTAGACAGTGAGAGAGAGAGAGAGAGAGTTATAGACAGTGAGAGAGAGACAGAGAGAAAGGTCTTCCTTCCGTTGGTTCAATCCCCTATTGGCCGCTATGGCCAGTGCTGCGCCAATCCGAAGCCAGGAGCCAGGTGCTTCCTCCCAATCTCCCTATATGCTCATGTTAGCAAAGGCATGATTAGGAATTAATTTCTCACAAAATATGGCTCTTAGATTCTTTGCTATATTTATTAGTTTATCTTGTGGTAAACTGTGTAATCAGTTGTCCTGTTTATTATAAATGTGACTTCACTAACTTTCATTGGGGAGAATTTTTATATTAAATTGTAATATTACTATGTTTGTCTTTGGATGGAGTGCAGAGACTGTCTTTTTTAAATCTGTGAGGTGTTATGGCTGTCCTTAAAATAGTCTTCAGAATATGTCTAGAGAGGGTAAAAATAAATAAGTAATTAGAATAAGTGTTTCTTGAGTGAGAGCTGTGCCTATCTTGAGATTATAAAATAGCCCTGCTACTTTATTTGGAAACAGTTGCAGGGTTTCTAAAGAAATCAGTGCAAGCTGTGGGAAGTGTTGTATTTTAGGAAATGCATCCATTAGGTGAGAAATTCTATGTTTCTGGAGGTGTTTAAATATTCCTCCAGTATAATTTTTATGTAGTTATGGTTTTTGTTTCATTAACAGTGTTTATAGAAACCTTAAAAGGACTTTTTTAAACTTAGGTTTGTTGAAGTTTTTAGTTAGGATCTGTTGGATGCTGCTGTTTTGTTTGGTAATACTCCTAGATGAGCTAGGCTTTCTGATCCTAAATATATATAAAACCTGTTTATGAGAATGCTTTTCTAACCTAACAACTTGAAAAATCCAGAATGCAACTGAGAGTAATTCTAAAGTCACTAGCACTAGCAGTAGCAAAGGAAATCGCATACTAATTTAAGGGAAGAGTTTAAGGAAAGTATTATTCTAGTCTCTTTAGAGTGACTTCCCCACTTCCTCTTATCAGTTGCTAGTGCTAGAAAGAGGAGGGATTGCTTACAGTCCTTTATTGCTTGAAGTCTTTGAGACTTTTCCTGGGTTTGCTCTGGCCCTTTAAAGATAAACTCATGCTTTTGGCTATAATTTGGCTCTCATTTTAATATGAAAACATTTGTGAAAATTGCATTATTTGGTAAGTTTCTGTAGAGTGTAGCTTTCCTGGGAAAGAATTTCTCTGGAGAAGGAACAGGAGAATGCTTTCTACTTAAAACATACATAATGACAAATCTTAAATGCTTTCTCCATAGAGTTGAGATAAAAGCCTGTTGCTTTAGTTGTAGTTTATCCATTATGTATCTCATGAACACACAGGGTTCCCTGGCTCTACATTTCCAGATTTCCTGCAATTTTGCAATATTGGTTAATTTAATATACCTCTGGAATTGTTCTTCAGATATATTCATAAGGCAGTAATAAATCAAAGGTTTCTTTTTTGTCCACCCTGTTTAAGTGAAGTTCCTGAAAGTCATCATTTCTAATTTAAGACAGGTTTGAAGTGGATTATTAGACCATTCCCAGTTTTTTTGATAACCCAGTACAGTTTTTTTCTGCAGTGTTAAATAGGGATTTCACTGTAATTTGATGGCTAACTTTAATTACATAAAGTGTGTTTACTTGTAGATCATTGATGTATAGTGAAGCTAATAGACGGGAGACATTTACCTCATGGCCTCATGTAGGCTACAGGTGGGCACAGCCAGATCCCATGGCTCAAGCTGGATTTTATCATCAGGTAAAAGATTATAAGTACTTTTTCATTATGCCATTGTAGACACTAAAATCATAAGCATTTTAGAATTTCTTCAAAATCTTATTTTATGTCACTTGGCTGTATGCTTTTGTATATGCATGCATGTGAATTTTGTTTCCTATACCTTTCATTATGATAACTGAATGGCTATTTCCTATGTCATGTGCACAAAGGAAAAAGTAATAACGGAGTTACTTAATGCTTAGTAACTATTTTATTTTAAAGTAGAGACAAAAAAAGATAACATTTATTTCGAATGAATGATGGGGAGGGGAGAAAGGGAGAGAGAAAGGGAAAGAGAAAGAGAAAGAGAGAAAAGAGAGAAAGAAAGAGAGAAAGAGAGAGAAAGAGAAAGAGAGAAAGAGAGAGAGAGAAAGAGAGAAAGAAAGAGAAAGAGAGAAAGAAAGAAATCTTCAATTGGTTGATTTACTCTCAAAATGGTTACCACAGCCAGGTCTGGGCCAGGCCAAAGCCAGGAGCCGGGAACTTCTGTCCTTGTCTCCCATGTGGAGGGCAAGGGCTCTTGGCCCATCATCCACTGTCTTCCTAGGCTTGTTAGCTGTGAGCTGGAACAGAAATGGAGCAGCTGGGGCTTGAGCTGGTGATCTGATATGGGATGCCGGTTCAGAAGTAGTGGCTTAACCTGCTGTGTCACAATGTTGGCCCCTAATTTTTTTTTTTTTAAGTCATCAGATAGGTGATACAGTCCAGATATGTTTATTTTCAGGTTTTTGCTTCTGCATATGTAACATAGTAATATTTTCCAGTTTATATGTGTCAGTAACATAATTATTTTCCAGTTTATTTTCAGATTTTTGCTTCTGCATATGTGACATAGTAATAGATGCTTGGGGTACAGTGAAAGCATTTTGCAGTTTTTCCTGACATTTTGATTGAATGGGGATACAAGTTATATATACACACTAGCTAACTATAGAAGCAGCATTACAGGCAGTGCCCAGCAACCTGAATACATGTATTGAAGAGCTGAGTAAGAAGTTTTGTAGACAGAGGATGAATTAATCAAGAAAGAGTCCTAGTTTTTTTTTTTTTTTTTTTTTTTTTTTTTGACAGGCAGAGTGGACAGTGAGAGAGAGAGACAGAGAGAAAGGTCTTCCTTTGCCGTTGGTTCACCCTCCAATGGCTGCCGCGGCTGGCGCGCTGCGGCCGGTGCACTGCGCTGATCCGATGGCAGGAGCCAGGAGCCAGTGCTTTTTCCTGGTCTCTCATGGGGTGCAGGGACCCAAGCACCTGGGCCATTCTTCACTGCACTCTCTGGTCACAGCAGAAGGCTGGCCTGGAAGAGGGGCAACCGGGACAGAATCCGGCGCCCCGACCGGAACTAGAACCCGGTGTGCTGGCGCCGCTAGGCGGAGGATTAGCCTAGTGAGCCGCGGCGCCAGCCAAGAGTCCTAGTTTTATGTAGGGAAAGGAGAGAATGTGTAGTGGGTTAGTATAAAAATACATGAGACTGGGATGTTATAGAAAGCTTTACTGAGCTAAAGACAGGTAAGTCAGATGATTTAAGCTTTGTGTGGTATATTAATAGGGAACTCTTCAAGTACTATAGATTGGTCTACTACTATTTAAGCACTGCTGAAAAATCTAGGGAATCTAATCGTTATATGTCAGCCTACATAAAACCTGCTTATCAATGTGACGTCAGAATCAGCCACATAAAGGCATTCTGCTGTGGCTTAAAAGCCCGTGAGAGCATGTCTTGGCATGGAAAGCCAAGACACTGTGGCAAAAAGTGTCCTATATGAAGGACCTTGTGGGTGAGACCCCAGTGGAAAGAAGTGGTAATCAAAGAAGGATGTACTTTTCTCTGAAGGGAGGAGAGAACTTTCACTTTGCTTATAGCCTTTTCTAAATATTGAAGAAGTTTGTGGATTCAAAAGGCTTCCATAGCCTAGGCAGCTCATGTCAAGAGCCTTGGGTGATCACGGACGTCATACATAAGAGTGTTAATTGTTAAATTAACAACAGGAGTCACTGCGCACTTACTTCCCATGCAGGACCTCTGTCCTCAAAGAGTTGTATGATGAGCGTTAACAGTAAAACTTGTTCTTAGATTTACTTTGTTTTAGTATATTAAGTGGAGGTTATTCTTATGTCTCATAAGCTACAGTTATGTCTAAATCTCACGAAAGATGTATCATTCTTGGATTCTTTTTCAAAATTAATTTTCTCAAAAAATGTTAAAAAAAATAAAACCTCAGATAGGTTTACTTTTATTGAATTAAAAAGTTTTTTCCTTATTGTAAAAATAATCCTGGTATTCTGTTGTACAGTGTGGTAACAATAGTTAACAATAGCATATTGTATATTTCTAAATAGCTAGAAAAAAAACTTTTGGATGTTCACACTATAAAAAAATCTTGCATATATGAAGTGATGGGTGCTAATTATCCTAATTTGATCATTAAAAGGTATTCATGTATCGAAATATTACATTGTACCACATAAATATGTGTAATTATTTTGTGTCAGTAAAAACAAATAATCTAATAAAAACCTGGTTTACCTTTAGAATTTAAATAAACTGAAATATATTAATGTTACTGTCCTAAGAATTAATAGTGATTGACTATTCCTTAGTTGTATTTAAGTGTTCTGAATGTCTTTAAAAAATTAAGTCAGAAAACCATATATGCTTGGATGTTTTGTTTAGAGTTAGCCAAGTTACCATTTAAAGACATAACTTTGGTGATTAGCTAATGTTAGAACTGTTGAAATTGTTTGGCCAAATTAAGGACTGAGTGTGTACCATCCTTCCTAACAATTTCTCTTCTTCTAATTTAAGTGTCATTTTCTAAGGGTCTTTTTTAAGTAGTGCCTGGTAGTTTTTCTTTTTAGTTATTGTTCATTATATTACATTATGTTTTTAAAAATTTTATTTATTTATTTGAAAGGCAGAATTATAGAGAGGCAAAGGCAGAGAGAGGGGCCGGCTCTGTGGCGCAGTGGGTTAAAGCCCTGGCCTGAAGCACCAGCATCCCATATGGGCGCCAGTTCTAGTCCCGGCTGTTCCTCTTCAGATCCAGCTCTCTGCTATGGCCTGGGAAAGCAGTAGAAGATGACTAACTCTAAACAAAACATCCAAGATTTAGTGTTCTTTGAACAGCCTTTACCTGAATTGGAATATACCTGAAAACTGATATTAATGTTTTTGTGCACTTACTCTGAAGTAAATGCATTTACTATATGTTACTTATTTTATATTTACTTTAAAACATAAAATGCACAAATTTTTAATCATTATAATTATGTAAAATATTGGTAATAATAAATGTAGAAATATATAAGGTTTTTTGATAAATAAAATGTGAACTGATGCATAGCATTTTGTTTCATGTGTCTCTATAGGCTATTACATGAATTAATTGATTAGTTTGCTTTTCCTTTTTTCCTATGTAATTGTATATAATTCAGTTTTTAATAATGATCCTGCTGTTCTATATCCTTTTCATATAATTGAGTAATGCAGTTAGAAGGTAGTAGATCAGAGAGTGAATGTGTGTGAGAGCCTTTGTGTTTGAGTTAGTGGTTTGCTGACTGAACAAAGATACCAAATCATAGATTTTTCAAGTAAAGCAGCCATTTCATAAACACTTGGGATTTTTTTTTTTTTTTTTTTTTTTTTTTTTTGACAGGCAGAGTGGACAGTGAGAGAGAGAGACAGAGAGAAAGGTCTTCCTTTTGCCGTTGGTTCACCCTCCAATGGCCGCCGCTGCAGCCGGCGCACCGCGCTGATCCTGGCAGGAGCCAGGAGCCAGGTGCTTTTCCTGGTCTCCCATGGGGTGCAGGGCCCAAGCACCTGGGCCATCCTCCACTGCACTCCCTGGCCATAGCAGAGAGCTGGCCTGGAAGAGGGGCGACCGGGACAGAATCCGGCGCCCCAACCGGGACTAGAACCCGGTGTGCCGGCGCCGCAAGGTGGAGGATTAGCCTATTGAGCCACGGCGCCGGCAACACTTGGGATTTTTAAAAAAAGGTTTATTTATTTGAAAGGTAGTGTTACATAGAAAGAGCGAGATTTAGATACATTAGATTGATTGATCCGTATTCCACATGCTGGTTCACGTGCCAACTGGCTGTAATGGCCATGGCTGGGCCAGACTGAAGCCAGGAGCTTCTTTCCATCTCCCAAGTGAGTATAGGGGCCTAAGGACTTGGGCCATCTTCTGCTGTTTTCCCAGGCCATAACAGGGAGCCAGATGGGAAATGGAGCAGCCAGGACTCAATTGAATTTTCATCCATGTGGGACACCAGTGTTGCAGGTGGCAGCTTTACCTGATGCTGGCTCCACATTTGTTGGGGCCTAATAGTAAAGGCTAGGTTTCTTTTCCTCAATATAAAGTTTTATTTAGAATTATGAACTTTTGAAAAGAATTTTTATTAGAAAGCTATTTCAGTAATGATTAACCTATTCTGTCTTCTTTCTAATTTCGTAGCCTGCCTCGTCTGGAGATGATAGAGCCATGTGTTTTACTTGTAGTGTGTGCCTCGTTTGTTGGGAACCTACAGATGAACCTTGGTGAGTCTTGATTTTTCTGGGCATGATAAGCTAAGGTAGTTTCGTAAATGCACATTCATTTTTTACTTTACTCATACCAGTGCATTATTCCTCTTGCATTTTTGCCACTGTCCTGAGGGAGTGAGATAGCCCTGTCTGCAGTCTCACGTTGCTTGGTGTACAGTGTCTAGAAGTGCCAATGATAGAACTAGTCTCTGAACAAAACAATAAAAGGATATGTTAAAATGAAATGTGGCGTGGTGAACATCAGCTGTTTAATATTGGTCTGTTCAGGGCAGGCTGCTGGAATCCAGGAAGGAGGGCCTTACAGTATATAGTTCTATTTTGAGGTAATATTAGTGGCTGTACGATTTTTGAATTCTGTTGTATTAAATTATAGAATTTGGTTAAAGATAGAGTAATGAAACTTCATTTTACAAAAAGCTTCCCTGAAGGAATAGTAATAGTAGTCACAAATATTGATATATTATAAACTGGGTCCCATTCTAAACACTTTATGTATTTTTTAATTTACTTGACAGGTAGAGTTATAGACAGTGAGAGACAGAGACAGACAGAGAGAAAGGTCTTCCTTGCATTGGTTCACTCCCCAAATGACCACTATGGTTGGTGCTGTGCCGATCCGAAGCCAGGAGCCAGGTGCTTTTTCCTGGTCTCCCATGCGGGTGCAGGGGCCCAAGCACTTGGGTCATCCTCCACTGCCTTCCTGGGCCACAGCAGAGAGCTGGACTGGAAGAGGAGCAACCGGTACTAGAACCCGGTGCCCATATGGGATGCTGGTGCCGCAGGCAGAGGATTAACCAAGTGAGCCACGGTGCTGGCCCCCACCTTATGTATTTTTAACTCATTTAATTTCCTATTAACCCTACAAGGTTATTTTATTGGAACAAATTGAAAATATTCTCCATTTTAATCCTTACAGTCAAAAAATTATTTTCCCATTCTAAATTAATAATAAAATTTGCTAAAGGACATATGGCGAGTGATAGAATCAGGTTAGGTTTCAAGATAGATACATCATTTATTTTGTACTAAAATTAGTTTGAAGCTTTTGAATAGTAATCAAGTGACATGACTGAGGTGAACTTGCTAAAGTGTTTTATAGTGTGCATATGGAGTCCAAGTTGCATTGAAAAACACCATACGTTAAATTCAAGTTTCATCTGTCTGTAGGCTGAGTTGAATGTAAACAGTTTCCAAATAAGGGTGGAATTCAATCTTCATGAAGATACCCCTCTCTGTCTTATCTATTCCCTGTTGCATTGTAATACATATTTTTTAGTTTCCCTTGCCAGTTCTCAGAAAGTTATTTAACTCCTTGAAAAATTATATTGTGATGTTGTAGAATGTAGTCTTTTTTTTTTTTTTTTTTTTTTTTTGGACAGATAGAGTTAGACCGTCAAAGAGAGAGAGACAGAGAGAAAGGTCTTCCTTCCGTTGGTTCACCCCTAAATGGCCGCTATGGCCAGAGCTACACTGATCCGAAGCTCCCTCCTGATCTCCCTTGTGGGTGCAAGGGCCCAAGTACTTCGGCCACCCTCCACTGCCTTCCCGGGCCACAGCTGAGAGCTGGACTGTAAGAAGAGCAGCTAGGACTAGAACCTGGCGCCCATATGGGATGCCGGCACTGCAGGTGGAGGATTAACCAAGTGAGCCACGGTGCCAGCCCAGAATGTAGTCTTCATTAGTAAACACTTTCTCTTGGAAAGCTAATTCAAATTTCTGATTCGGATGGCTCAAAATCCCTCTTTATGTGGTCAGGGATCCAGGGCTTCTACCTTTTCTTTGCTCTGGGATTTGGAATTCTTCAAACTCTCAAGAGGTTGATGGTGTCTCAGAGGGCCTGGGGGCTAGTCTTGCAAATGGATGGAGGGGAAGGGAATTGATGGTGGCTAGAGAACTGAACCTGGGCACCTGCTAAATCTGTAAGGGAAGAAAGAAAATTTGGAAGGGGAAATGAAGCTCTTGAGGAGGGAGGTCTATAGGGCTCTTCGGATGGAAGTTATATTTTAAAAAATGTAAAACTGGGCTTTCTTGCTTACCTAGCAGCACTTCTGCTTACTTATCCTAGGGAGTTAATTCTTACATGTGTGGAGGTGTAAAATGGATGAAAAACTGGGGGAACATCTTGAATCCTTATCAGGAGAGTAGCAGCCAAATAAAATATGGTATATGCATGAAATAGGCTATGAACCAACACTGAAAAGGAATGAATTGTTAGATTTCTATTAATCATTATCAGTAGCTTTCAAATGTGTTATTATGTGAAGGAAAGTATTATAGAATGATTTGTATAATGACATCAGTTGTTTGAAATTATCTTAGAAGTATGTCACTTAAATTCATGAGAGTGGTAACCTGGAGGCTGGGTAGGAAATTGCCGGGCTTGGGTATTAGCATTGAAATGTGTCTTTCACTTTATCTTGTATAGTCCTATAGAAGTACAGTTTCAAGTAAAAAGTTAAAACCTGGGTGAAAGGTAGGGGAAAAACACCGCGGGATTTAGTTGGGAGTCAATTCTGATTAAAATCTCATGTGCTTGAGAGTACAGTATAAAAGGATTTGTGGAAGACATCTGCATATTGCAAATTGCCCAGGTTTTATATGTGAATATGAATAACTTGTAGGTATGATGTAGAAAAAAATACACCCTAAGGAATAGCAAGTTTTATGAATAATTTTTTTTCTTCCTTTCTTAGCCATGAAAATATAAAAATTAATTTTTTTCAGATTTTTTTTCTTGGTAGCAGTATCCTGACATTCAGATCACACCTCCCAAGCACAGCTAGTGGAAGAAAAAAAATATTGTGAAAGAAAGATAAAGGAGCCATGAGATTGGGCAAGCTAATTTTTAAGTGTTAAACTTGATTCTGGGCCGGCGCCACGGCTCACTAGGCTAATCCTCTGTCTTGCGGCGCCGGCACACCGGGGTTCTAGTCCCGGTCAGGGTGCCGGATTCTGTCCCAGTTGCCCCTCTTTCAGGCCAGCTCTCTGCTGTGGCCAGGGAGTGCAGTGGAGGATGGCCCAAGTACTTGGGCCCTGCACCCCATGGGAGACCAGGAGAAGTACCTGGCTCCTGCCATCAGATCAGCGTGGTGCGCTTTTCGCAGCGCGCCAGCCGCGGCCATTGGAGGGTGAACCAACGGCAAAGAAAGATCTCTCTGTCTCTCTCACTGTCTACTCTGCCTGTCAAAAAAGTAAATAAAAATTAAAAAAAAAAAAAAAAAACTTGATTCTGCTTTCAATATTTGAGGAAATCCTTAAAGTCATTATTTGAATCTTGATTTAAGGCATTTTTCTTTTCTTAAGCATGCTACAGTTTTCTAGTGGACTAATTTAGAGTTTCTTTTTGTCCAATAAGCACTTAATTGCAAGAATTACAGTCATCTCTTGGTATCTGGCAGGGGATTGGTTCCCAGGACCCTTGGTACCAAAATCTGAGGATGCTTAGGTCATTTACATAAAATAGCATAGTGTTTACACATAGCATATGCACATCTTCTGCCCTACTTTATTTATTTTTTAAGGAACACAAATTTCCTAAGTCAACTTTAGGAATATTCTTCCCATCATACCCACCTTCCTACTCACACTCCCACCCCTCCTCCGCCTCCCTCTCCCCTTGCCAGTCCCATTCTCCATTAAGATTCATTTTCAATTAACTTTGTACATAGAAAACCAACTGTATATTAAGTAGAGATTGCAACAGTTTGCACACACATAGACATACACACACACACACAAACTGTTTGAGAACTGGTTTTACAGTACTCTCACTACAACTCATTAAGGACAGAGATCCTGCATGGGAAGTTAGTGCACTGTGATTCTTGTTGTTAACTTAAAAATTAACATTCTTATGTATGACAGCAATGACCACCTGAGGCTCTTGACATGAGCTGCTCAGGCTATAGAAGCCTTTTGAGTCCACAATCTTCGTCAGTGTTTGGACAACTCATAAGCAAAATGGAAGTTCTCTCCTGCTGTTAGAGAAAAGTACATCCTTCTTTGATCTGCCCTACTTTAAATCATCTCTAGATTACTTATAATGCCCACAGTGTACATACTAAATGCTATGTACTTAGTTGTTTTACTATATTGTTTAGGAAATGATGACAGGAAAAAAGTTGTGCAGTTTTTATATGCAGTAGGTTAAATTGCAGACGTGAAACCCATGGATTCAGAAGTCCGACTGTGTGATTTATAAACTTTACCTTTGGAAGATTTTTTTGAAAAGAAATTGTGTTTGAAGTAGCTTGTCTGATTAGGTCCTGTGGTGAATATGTAAGGTATATTTCTGTGTTTTTAATATATGTCATTTACTTAACCCTTTGAAAATCTTGCTTTCAGATAGTTAGTAAAATTGAAACAAAGTAGTTACTCATTCACAGTTGAAGGAAACCAGTGTGAGGAAATATCAAGAATTAAACAATTTTTTTAGTGTATTAGTGTAACACAAATGATACTGTAGCATCGCTGTCCCAAGTTTCATCTGAGACTGACTATTTGTAGCCAATTACAATAACAACTACTAGTGTAAGTGCTTTGAATGTTGAATATGTGAATAGTTCAGTATGTTAGAAGGAGCCTAAAACTGAATGATAGGTAAGTCTAACAATGAAAGATGATGATCCTGGAGTTCTGTTTTAAAGTGCAAACTTAACTGCTTTGTTGTTCAGTAAACTTTTTCCTTTCTTCATCTGTGTAAAGGTCTGAACATGAGAGACATTCCCCAAACTGCCCCTTTGTGAAGGGTGAACACACGCAGAATGTGCCATTGTCGGTCACTCTTGCAACAAGTCCTGCGCAGTTTCCTTGTACAGATGGAACTGACAGAATATCTTGCTTTGGGTCAGGGAGCTGCCCTCAGTTTTTAGCTGCTGCAACTAAACGAGGAAAGATTTGCATATGGGATGTTTCCAAGCTTATGAAGGTATGTTTTAATTTTAAAGTAACATAAATAATTTGGAAAAAAATCAATTGTAAACTCAGGCTTCTCATTCATTTAGGTGCACTTAAAGTTTGAAATTAATGCCTATGATCCAGCAATTGTACAGCAACTTATTCTATCAGGAGAACCAAGCTCAGGAGTTGATTCAAGGAGACCAACTTTGGCGTGGCTGGAGGATTCCTCTAGTTGCTCAGACATACCCAAATTGGAAGGAGATAGGTATGTGAATTTGTTCACTGTTACAGGTTTTCTTTTTCTAAATTGTATATTCTCAGTGTTTTAATGAAAGAAACAGAAAAATTTGTAATTTAAATGATTAGAGATTAAATGGTTAGAAATCTGAATACTGAGTCTTAAATAACTTACATTTAGAAATGCCAAACTATGCAAAATATATTTTCTGTCTTAATCTATATCCATTGGAAATAATTGCCACATTGAAAAGTAAAGTCTAAATTATTAAATGAGATTCTTGGATTAGATTTGTAATTTTGCCTTTTATTATATCTTTTCATAGAGCAGTTGAATTAAATTTTAGATTTCCTTTTTATGTTAGAACCTTAAATTATGGAAGTGCTAATGAAAGTTAAATGACCTGAGGTGAAACAAGAGGCTCTGATTGTTCAGAATAATACACCAGTAGTCACCCGTGAGTTGGGACACTGTAATCATCTCTGTAGAAACATTTTGGTAAAGTTGCTTTTCTGGATTCTTCTCTAACTTGATTTTTCTGACAGGTTCGTGATTTTTTTTCCCCCTGCACCTGATCTGTGTGGGGTTAGCATAATCCGAGTAAAATCCTTCCAACCCACTTGATTCTGAGGAAACACTGCAATTGTCACTCTGAACTGGGTTAGGATGGTACGGCAACATTTGCAGTATTCCCCAGTAGGCACAATGCAGGGTTCCAGAGACCACTAAGCTTAGGATAAGCAAAACAGCTACCTCTTTTAAGATTGTGCAGGTAGCAGTGTGAAATGTAACCTGTTTAACTGATGGGATGTCCTGATTTATAGGGATACCTGCCAGTTCATCTACAGAGGCTCACATGTGATTGCTGCTAAACCATACTCAGTGATTTACCATTTTATTTCCCATCTTCTTCAGTGGCATGCACTTTCTTTAATAAGTAATGTAAGATTTTATTAATGGAAATTGTTTCATTAATGGAATTAATGGAAAATTCACAAGTCGGGAAAATACCTCTGTCTAGTTCCTCTTGGTAATAACATGTTGAAATTACTAGTAGGTAGATAAATGTTGTCTGAACTCCAGAACCGACTGAATGACAGCTTCATGTTTATTCTCAGTTGTTGTAAATCCCTGTGAGAGCTTGATGGGTAAGCAGCTTGCCTACTGTCTGAGTTCTTAGCCGTGTTTACCAGTACAACTGGAAACAAAGCATGCTTGGTTTCTGTGAATTTCTTAGAAGTTAGCAGAAAAATAATGTAATGAAGTTGGTGTTTTACTTACTCTAAACTCTGATTTTAATAGAACTTTGCCTTGGAGTGAGTTATATGGTTTGAGGACTAAGAAGTAAGTCAAAATAGGCTTCTAGGATTACAACTTGTGCTTACCATTTCTTAAAATGTGTATTAGGTAAAAATGCACCCCTTCATATATCTGGTGGAAATACTACATTCTGATATGTGGGGTTAGTTTTCTGGATTTGAGATTTAAATCCCTCTTCCTGACTTTAGAAAGTGACAGACAAATCATACAGAAAGATCACTGCTGGAGCAGGCATTTGGCGCAGTGGTTAAATTGCTGCTTGGGACATCTACATCCCTTGTTGGATTTGAGCTACTCTGTGTCCAGCCAGCCTCCTACAGATGTGCACCATAGGAGGCAGCAGATGAAGGCTTAAGTGGTTGGGTTCCTAACACCCATGTGGGAGATACAGATTGAGTTTCTGTCTTCTGGCCTCATCCTGGCCCAGCCTTGGCTGTTGGGAGCATTCAGGGAGTGAACAGTGGATAGAAGATCCCTCCCTCTCACCCGCCCCTTCCTTTCAAATAAAGGGGAAAACAAGATTATTCTTAAGTTGGTGTGGTAGGAGGAAGCAGAAGAGGTGGACCTGCATCCCTAACCTTAAATCCCTTCCACTCTCCCAAGAGGTAACCGGAGTCCTATTTGATTGGTAGTGGTTAGAATGAACCAGACAAGTCCCACTTCAGAAAAACATGCATTACACTTGGTTTTATATAAAATACCCTATGAGGATTTCACTAGATTGAAGAATAATATGTTAATGGGGAAATTCAAGCTTATCCAAGAAGTTTAAAGTCATTATCAATATAATTTGCTTAAAAATAGTTTTTGACCATTTGCATTTATTAAGGAAAGAAGATGTTGAAAAATTTTAATGAACTAATATTTTGTCTAGTTGTTTCAGTAGTCATTTGTATTATATTTTGTCAAATTGGTAAAAATTTCCTGAATTTAACTTTAAGAATATTTTGTGGTGTTGATGTTAGCCAAGATACCTTTATGATAGTAATGTTTAGTTTTCAACAACGTATAGAACTGTTTTTTATGTTATACATTCTTTCCATTATTTCCTTAAAAAAATTTTTTTGTATTTGTTTTCATTTATTTGAAAGCTAACAGAGACAAAGAGATATCTTCCATCTGCTGGTTTTCTCCCCAAATGCCTGCAGTAGTGGGGTTGGGCCAGACTGAAACCAGGAGCCAGGAACTCAGTCTGGGTCTCTCAAGCAGGTGGGAGGGGCAGAAGTACTTGAGCTGCCTCCTAGAGCCTGCATTCCCAGGAAGCCAACACGTAGTGGAGCTGGGACTCACACTTATTTCTACTGTGGTTTGCAGATGTTCAAGTGATCCTTAACTGTTGGGCCACATACCAGGCCCAACACATAGAATCTTCACTAAACATTTTTTTTTTAAAGATTTATTTTATTTACTTGAAAGACAGAGTTACAGAGAGAAGTAGAGACAGAGAGAGAAGTCTTCCATCCGCTGGTTCACTCCCCAGATGGCTGCAATGGCTGGAGCTGTGCCAGCAGCCAGGATCTTCTTCCGGGTCTTCCACGCAGGTGCAGGGGCCCAAGGACTTGGGCCATCTTCTACTGGTATCCCAAGCCACAGCAGAGAGCTGGATTGGAAGAGGAGCAGCTGGGACTAGAACTGGCGCTCATGTGGGATGCTGGCTCCTCAGGCCAGCTGCACCACAGCGCCGGCCCTACTAAGCATTTTTAATTTTCCCATTTCTTATTTATTTTGCTCAGTACTTTGTGAAAGTTTTCATGTCCTGTAAAAGACTAGTAAAGGCCGGCGCCGTGGCTCACTAGGCTAATCCTCCGCCTTGCGGCGCTGGCACACTGGGTTCTAGTCCCGGTCGGGGTGCCGGATTCTGTCCCGGTTGCCCCTCTTCCAGGCCAGCTCTCTGCTGTGGCCTGGGAATGCAGTGGAGGATGGCCCAGGTGCTTGGGCCCTGCACCCCATGGGAGACCAGGAGAAGTACCTGGCTCCTGCCATCGGATCAGCACGGTGTGCCGGGTGCAGCGCGCCGGCTGTGGCGGCTATTGGAGGGTGAACCAATGGCAAAAGGAAGACCTTTCTCTCTGTCTCTCTCTCTTTCTCTCTCACTGTCCACTCTGCTTGTCAAAAAAAAAAAAAGAATAGACACAAGACTTTAGTAAAGGGGCTTGCATTCTGGCATAGTGGATTAAGCTGTGGCCACACAGCTGGCATCCCATATGGGCATGGGTTTGTGTCTTGGATGCTCCAGTTCTGATCCAGCTCCCTGCTGGTGGCCTGGGAAAAATGGGAAGATGGCCCAAGTGTTTGCACCCTTGCCACCTGTGTTGGAAACGCCAAAGAAGCTCTGGCCTCCTGGCTTCGGCCTGTCCCAGCCCTAGCCATTGCAGCCATGTGGAGACTGAACCAGTGGATGAAAGATTCTCTCTCTTTCAAATAGATAAATAAATCTTAAAAATAAAAAAAAGGTCTTTAATAATCTGGTGTGTATTATATAAGTAATGCATGTTTATTTTGGAAGTAGGAATGGATGTTGAAAAACTGAAGAATACCACAATTACACTAATTATGTTAAAATTTATATATGTTCTAGTTTCTTAAGCCATGTGATTTAAAAATTTTCTAAAGATTTACTTACTTATTTGAAAGGCAGAGTTACAGAGAGGCAGAGGCAGAGAGAGAGAGAGAGAGGTCCTCTATCTGCCAGTTCACTCCCCAGATGCCCACAGCAACCAGAGCTGAACTGATCCAAAGCCAGGAGCCAGGAGCTTCCTCTGGGTCTCCCATGTGGGTGCAGGGGCCCCAGGCTGAGAGCTGGATCGGAAATTAAGCGGCCGGGACTCGACTTGGCACCCATATAGGATGCCGGCACTGCAGGTGGCAGCTTTACCCACTACGCCACAGCACAGGCCCCAAGCCATGTGATTTTTTAAAAAGTTTTATTGAGATGTAGTTTTTATATTCACCCGATATAATCTTATTATTTTACCCATATGGTTTTTATCATTTAATAGTTTGAGAACTTTTGTCATAAACTGTTGTAGAGAAGAGTATAATATTCTTTAAGACCTTGAAAATAAAATTTTTATTTCTAATTTATGATCATTATCTATCTGGTTATTCTCTTTGTACTGTCAAGGCTTTTGAATTTCTTATTTAAAATATACTACTTTTGGGACTGGCACTGTGGTGTAGTGGGTTAAGCCACTGTCTGTGGTGCCAGCATCCTATATGAGTGCCCGTTTAAGTCCCGGTTGCTCTGCTTCCAATCCAGCTCCCTATTTATAGACTGATAAACCAATTGAGGTGGCCCAAGTGCTTGGCCCCTGCACCCATGTGGGAGACCAGCGAAAAGCTCTTGGTTCCTGGTTTCAGCCTGGTCAACTCTGGCTGATGCAGCCATTTGGGAGTGAAATGGTGGTTGGAAGACCTCTGTCTCTGTCTCTCCTCTTTCACTCTCTCTGACTTTAAAATAAATAAATAAATGAAGCTCTAAAAATAGCGTACTTTCTATGCATACACAAGAATGCTACTTTATTTTATCTTTTTTTTTTTCTTTTTTTGACAGGCAGAGTGGACAGTGAGAGAGACAGATAGAGAGAAAGGTCTTCCTTTTGCCGTTGGTTCACCCTCCAATGGCTGCTGTGGCCGGCGCACCGCACTGATCCGATGGCAGGAGCCAGGTACTTCTCCTGGTCTCCCATGGGGTGCAGGGCCCAAGGACTTGGGCCATCCTCCACTGCATTCCCAGGCCACAGCAGAGAGCTGGCCTGGAAGAGGGGCAACCGGGACAGAATCCGGCGCCCCGACCGGGACTAGAACCCGGTGTGCCGGCACCACAAGGCAGAGGATTAGCCTAGTGAGCCGCGGCGCCAGCCTATTTTATCTTTTAACTCAGTGGAGTTGGGTAATGTGGTTATTTTCTTTCTTCTTCTTCTTCTTTTTTTTTTTTTTTTTTTTTTTTTTTTTTTAAGATTTATTTATTAGAATGACAGGGAGAGAGAGAGAGAGAGAGAGAGGGCGAGCGAGCAAGCTTCCATCCGCTGGTTCACTCGCCAAATGGCCACAGTGGTGGAGCTGGGCAGGTCTGAAGCCAGAAGCCAGGAGCTTCTTCTGGGTTTCTCATGTGGGTGTGAGGGCCTAGGTGCTTGGGCCATCTTCTGTTGCTTTTCTAAGTACGTTGACAAGGAGCTAAATCAGAAGTGGAGCAGCCAATCCCTGATTATTATTGGGTAATATAAAAAAAGCCTCTGTATCTGAAACCTATTATGTGTTTTTGATTTAATCTTCTTTCTTTTCTTTTCTGAAGATTTATTTATTTACTTATTTTAAAGATAGAGATCGATCTTCTGTATGCTGTTTTTTTTTTTTAATGATTTTATTTATTTATTTGAAAGTCAGAGCTACACAGAGAGAGAAGGAAAGGCAGAGAGAGAGAGAGGTCTTCCATCCACTGGTTCACTCCCCAAATGGCCGCAACGGCCGGAGCTGTGTCAATCCGATGCCAGCAGCCAGGTGCTTCCTCCTGGTCTCCCATGTGGGTATAGGGGCCCAAGGACTTGGGCCATCTTCTCCTGCTTTCCCAGGCCACAGCAGAGAGCTCGATTGGAAGAGGAGCAGCTGGGGCTCAAACCGGTGCCTATATGGGATGCCAGCGCTGCAGGTGGAGGATTAACCTGCGGCATGGCACTGCCCCCCTGTATGCTGTTTTATACCCAAACCCTGGGCCAGGCTGAAGCTGGGAACTAGGGACTGTATGCAGGTCTTCCACACAGGGGGCAGGCCCTCAAGCTCTTGAGCCATCTTCTGCTGCCTTCCTAGGTACATTAACAGGAAGCTGGATTTAAAACGGACTAGGGTCAGCGCTGTGGCGCAGCAGATTAAGCCGCCGCCTGCAGTGCCAGCTTCCCATATCAGCACCGGTTCCACTCCCAGCTACTCCAGTTTGCATTCAGCTCTCTGTTAATGCACCTGGGAAAGCAGCAGAGGATGCCCTGCACCACCTGGGAGACCTGGAAGAAAGCCTTGGCTCCTGGCTTGGCACGGCCCAGCCTTGGCCATTTCAGCCATTTAGAGTGTAAACCAGCAGATGGAAGATTTCTCTGTCTCTCCTCTCTGCATCCTGGATGCTTGTCTCTCATGCATGTCTTACAAGAAGCTAGATTGGGAGTGCAAAGTAACTAGAACTTGAACCAGGCACTCCTGTATGGGATGTAGACATTGTAAACTGTGGCTTAACCAACCATGTCACAACACCTGCCTGTTGCATTGTTTTTGTTGTTTTAAATTACAAAATGAAATTGGTATATGGACACTTACTATGTTGACAAACTTCAGGCAGACAGACTTTCTTAGTATCTGTGTACCTACCCTCAAATTTCAAACATTGCCTTGGAGTGTAGAATCCTTCAGCATCTTTAATGGAGTTTACCAACTTACAGAATGTATGCAGTAGCATTGCAAATGCCTGTGCATTTCAGATGTAGTGCAATATATTGTTTTAAAAAAGGAGAATTGAGGGAGAATTGCTTTTTCTTTCTGTGAAAAACATCTTTTAATTTTTATAATGAAGTTACCAGAATTTTAGAAACTGCTGTAGACATGCTAATTTATGTTAGAATGATCTGGAATTATATCTTTTTTTCTGCTAACAGGGGAAAGAGGGAGATAAATGTGGATACAAAGAGGGAGGCTGACTTTTTTTCCACTTGAGAGCAAATGAGGGTCCTATCTTGTGAGTTGTAGTAGCTTTCCTATGTGTCACAGTGCTCTTAATGGGCCCCTGAAAACACAAAAACCACAAAATAATGAAATGCGTGTGTGTGAGAGAGTACACATATATTTATGTGTATTTATTTGTACAACTTTTATTTGCTTTCAGATAGGTGTCTTGAATTCAGTGATAGGATAGTTCTTAGAATTGTACAACTGTATACTCATGTCTGATTTTGTTGTTTGCTGCTTTCTTTGATTCCTTTAGTTGCCCAAAGTACCCCATTCATGTAGCTGCCATTAGATCTCTGTGAGCGCTATTTCAGATTCTTAGTAATTTCCACATTCTGTTGAGGTAGACATTTATTTAATGATTTAAGGTGGTTCATTTTCAGCTATGATTTCTAACAACTATTTATATCTCAGTTAAGCTAGTTTAAATACGTTACGCGTGAGATAAGTAGCAGTGGTTTTAACACTGCTTTGCTTTTGACTTTCTCATGTATACTGTTTTTGAAATTCAGATTGTTTTTACTTTGTCTTTTGATTTAAGTGATGATTTACTGGAGGATTCAGACAGTGAAGAGCATTCCAGATCAGATTCTGTGACAGGTATGTAAAAAATGTTATTGATACATTCTTAAAGTCCTTAGATTTACACAGTTCAGAAGTTAAATACCAGTTATAAATTTCTTAGTTAAGACAAACTCAATGTTCACTAATACACAGAGAAAACCAAAATATTATGTGTGACACATCTTGAATTAGTGGTAAGTACATAATGTTTCACAAGTAAAATTTACATGGTGTTTTAAAGTAGTAGTTACGTTAAATCTTTGACATATTATGTGTCAACAAATTCAGATTCTTTTTGCATAATATACGATGTTAAATAAAAGTCATGTTTAAAACTCTTAAACTTGAAAAATTAAAGCTCTTATTAAACCAAAAGAAAATAGTGAATAGAGAATGAATTTTATGTAGAAAGTAATGGATATTAAGGCAAGGAGTAACTGCTTCTTACGAAATATTAAGGCAAAGGAATATGCTTCATTGTTTAATGCTGGTTGATAGGTGTCATTGCGCTTTTTTTTTTACAGGCAGAGTGGACATAGAGAGAGAGAGAGAGAGAGAGAGAGAGAGAGAGAAAGGTCTTCCTTTTTGCCGTTGGTTCACCCTCCAATGGCCGCTGTGGCCAGCGCGCTGTGGCCGGCGCACCACGCTGATCCGATGGCAGGAGCCAGGTACTTCTCCTGGTCTCCCATGGGGTGCAGGGCCCAAGCACTTGGGCCATCCTCCACTGCACTCCCGGGCCAAAGCAGAGAGCTGGCCTGGAAGAGGGGCAACCGGGACAGAATCCGGCACCCTGACCGGGACTAGAACCCGGTGTGCCGGCACCGCAAGGCGGAGGATTAGCCTAATGAGCCACGGCACCGGCCTAATGCTGGTTGATAGGAATAACTAATACTGTGTCTCAAAATCATTCTTTTTAAAAGATGTATTTATTTGAAAGGCACATACATACACACATTCAAATAGAAAGAGAGAGGTGTCTTCCATCTGTTGATTCATTCTCTAAATGGCCACAATAGCAATATCTGAACAAGGCCAAAACCAAGAGCCAGGAACTACATCTTGGTCTCTGATATGGGGGCCAGGGGCCCAAGCACTTGGGCCATTTTCTGCTGCTTTCCCGGGTGTGTTAGCAGGGAACTAGATCAGAAGTGGAGCAGCTGGAACTTGAGCTGGTGCTCATATGGGATGCTGCTATCCCAGGAGGTGGCTTAACCTGCACCACAGTGCAGGCCTCCCTTTTTATGTTCTTAAATATTTTTTATTTTACCTCTGACTTTTTCTTTGTGTGCTGTAGCTTTGTTCTTTTCTCTAGGCCTAGAGAATATCAGTACATATTTTTGTAATTCTGCATGTATGTGATCTGTTTTGTTATCCTTTTTCTACATTTATCTTTTTCATCTATGTCTGTCTGACTTTTTGTCATTTCCTTTCACTACTGTTGTCCTGTTTTATTTCACTTTCCTAGTAGCTAGACTATTACCATATATTTTTGTTGATCTCCAACCTCTTTTAGGGTTGGAGAGATCTTTTTGTAGTATTAAAAGTAGATAGGGTAGGAGAAAAAATTCTTTCAGTTTATAATTTTCAGTTGCTTTGTTGAGCGTTTTGTAACTTATTCATAGTAAATTATATCTTCTGAACTAATTGATACATTGAGAGATTATCAGTGATTTTATGTAGGCTTGTGAAGTAACCTTATGTATACTTGATATTCATGAGCCATGTGATCACTTTCTGAAGTATTTAAAAAATTACAGGTACCATTTCAAAAACTTGTATCTACAACTTTAGATGATTCCCATTAAATGGAATAATTGGGTCGAAGAATTATAGAATATTTTTCTTAGTTTCTAAGTGTGTGAGTGCAGCCTGAGTTCATCCTTTTCAGTAAAAGGTTGTACCTATACAGCAGGATGTTTGAAGTTGTGTTGTATTTAAGTTTATTTTGTGATCTAAAATGTTTTAGATGTCCTTACTGCAGGATTTGTCAGTCTGTGTGTATGTGCTATTTTAACAGATGTTAATTGAATTGTTGAGAAGAAGCAGAGTAGTGATGCCACTTGTTAAATTTTCCTTCTTGGTAAAGTCTCACTTTACGTGTCATTTACTTTGACTACTGTATTAAGTATGACTTAATATATGTATTTTATGGCTTATTTATAGTCTTTCAAATATACTCAAGATAAATACAGTCTAAAATTTATTTCCTTTTTGGGGGGTGATATCTTAAAGTAGCTTAATAAAAAGAAACTGAGAGGTATGTGTGTGCACAAATACAAGCACATACGTACACACCTACCCAGATGTATATAGAGAGCTTTCGCAGAACCCAGGCACTTCAATATGGGGTGCAGGCATCTTAACCAGTGTTTTGTCTTAATTGCTTGGCTAAATTCCTGTCGCTACCATAACTTTTTTTTTTAAAAACCTATCTAAGTTTGTTAGTTTAGTTCAATAAACAATTGAATATCCTCAGAATTAATTATACTCTACTATGATATAAAATACTAATATGATATACTAATATGATATACTAAATAATAATATATCATATTAGTATTTTAATATATACTAATTAGTATTTTAATATATAGTATTTTAATTATACTCTACTATGATATAAAATGCTAAGATATAAAATATCTTACTTTCAGCTTTAAATAAAGTATTTTATTTTCAACCTTAAATATCCGGTCTAAAGTAAGAGAAAATATACAGAGGCTGGTATTTTGGTGTAGTGGGTTAAGCTGTTGCCTGCAACACCAGCATCTCATATGGGCACTGGTTCAAGTCTAGGCTGCTTTACTGCTGATTTAGCTCCCCGCTAATATGCCTGGGAAAGCAGCTGAAGTTGGTCCAAGTGCTTGGGCCACTGCACCCATGGGGGAAACCCGGAAAGCTTCGGACTCCTGGCTTCAGCCTGGCCCAGCCCTGGCTGTTGCAGACTTATGGGGAGTGAACCAGTGGATGGAAGATTCTCTCTCTCTCTGTGTAACCCTACCTTTCAAACAAATAATTATGTCTTACAAAAAAAATTGCATGACAATAAGAAAGCATCATGTGAGTATAGCCAAATGTGTAAATAAATGAACAGCTGCTTAGTACTGTTAGAGTTTCTTTTTCATTTTTTCAAAGATTTATTTTATTTGAAAGACAGTGACAGAGAGAGAGACAGAGAAAGATCTTCCATATGCTGGTTCACTCCCCAAATGGATGCAAGGGCTGGAACTGAGCCGGTCTGAAGCCTGGAGCTTCTTCTGGGTCTCCCACATGGGCACAGGGGCCCAGGGACTTGGGTCATCCTCGGATGCTTTCCCAGGCCATAAACAGAGAGCTGAATCAGAAGTGGAGCCGCTGGGACTCAAACCGGTGCCCATATGGGATGCTGGCATTGCAGGCAAAGGCTTTAATCCATAGTGCCAGCCCTTATAGTTAGAGTTTATATTTATAACTTGGATTTTCTTCTGCATTAGCTAGAAGAGGTTTCTGTCTTAGAGGAAGGTAGTAATGTTATGTGAAATGTGATCACCCCCATGTTATGGAAGATTCCAGATAAAGTTGCCCTTGGGCATGTTGAAGACATCATGAATGAAATAGCTAAGAAAATTGGTGTAAAATGAGCTTGATTAATACTTGAAGTATTTTCTGTCCCATGTGTCTGTGTTGTGCTCTTAGTTACTTGGGTGTATTTTAAGCCTTCCTACAGTCACCTTGAGTTCTTTGTATTTATTCCCTTTCCTCGTTTTTGTTCCTCCTGTCTAATTTGTAACAGCATTTCCAATTTTTTTTGGATCTCCAAAAACTACCTAAAGTGGTCTGTCACTGTTGCTGCCTCCCTGGTAATCTTTGGTACTATTCAGAAACACAGTTGGTTGAAGCAATTTTCAGTTGAGTATCAATAGGTTATACCTGATTTGGGGGCTGACATCTCTTGTAGGGGTTTATATAGACAGATCAACATGTTTGAAGGGTAAGGACTCAAAAATGACTTCTGTACTATTCATAAGGGGCAGCTTAACAAGGACACAATTTCAAGAAAGGTCAGTAAGGGATAATTTGGTTGTGAGACTTTATTTGAACTAAAGGTAAGCAGATGATTCAGAAGATAGGTTTCTATCTAAATTGACACCTTAGCGCCCAGCTTTGTGGTACATTAGATAAAGCCTCCACTTGTGATGCTGGCATCCCCTATCAGAGTACCTTTTCCGGTCCTAGCTGCTCTCTTTCCAATCCAGCTTCTTGCTGGCTTGCTTGCTTCTTTCTAATATGCCTAGGAAGGCAGTGGGTGATGGCCCAGTATTTGGGCCCCTGCCATCCATGTTGGAGGCTGGATAGTTTTTGGTTCCTGACTTTGGTCTGGCCCATATCTGCCTGTTGCAGCCATTTGGGGAGTGAACCAAATCTCTGTCTCTTGTTTTTCCTTCTCTTTATTGCTACATATTTCAAACAAATAAGTAAATTAAAAAAAATTTAAAATTGACACCCTAGTAATGTATTTTCTTAAAATCAAGTTTAGAATTAAATTTTGTTCTGTGATTTTCTGCTAATAATGATTATCATGGGGTGAGAGAAGAAACAGTGCAGTGACTCCTCCCAAACGTTGGAAGGAAGGGAGCTGAGATTCCGTTGTTTTTGTGGACTGTGGGAAAGTGTACAGATGTGTAAGTAGTATGGAGTGTCTTTTTAGTCAAAGAATGGAAGTGGAGAAATCTTGTGATTTTGGTATTAATTTATATATATATTCACTCTTTTAACTTGTTAACCAAAGTTTTTAAAAAAGGGAGTTTTGGTCACTAATTGCCAGGAGAATGTATTATGAATTGAAAATTTTGAGTCTCCTGAATACATTTACAGTTTTCTGAGTAGATTTGTCTCAGTATTGATTAAATTTCTTGTAAAATTCTTTAAATTCGTTTACTTACATAATTAGAATGCACTGACTAACTAGATGAGTGAGAAAAATGAAAAATGTTAAACCAAAGATTCTGATTTACATTTACAAGGCCATATCAAATAAATATTGTTCTTTTCAAAGGGCATACATCACAAAAGGAAGCCATGGAAATAAGCCTGGATGTAACAGCACTCAGCATTCTCCAACAACCAGAAAAACTTCAGTGGGAGATTGTTGCAAATGTGCTTGAAGATACTGTTAAGGATCTTGAAGAACTTGGGGCAAATCCTTGCTTAACAAACTCTAAGAATGAGAAGACAAAAGAAAAGCACCAGGAACAACACAACATTCCCTTTCCGTGTTTGTTGGCAGGAGGTTTATTAACATACAAATCTCCTGCTACTTCCCCTATTAGTAGTAATTCTCACAGGTCACTGGATGGTTTAAGCAGAACTCAGGGTGAAAGTATATCAGAGCAAGGGTCAACTGACAATGAATCCTGCACTAATTCAGAACTCAATTCTCCTCTGGTAAGGAGGACTTTGCCTGTTTTACTTCTTTATAGCATCAAGGAATCTGATGAGAAAGCAGGAAAAATCTTTTCACAGATGAACAATATTATGAGTAAAAGTTTGCATGATGATGGCTTTACTGTTCCCCAGATCATTGAGATGGAACTGGACAGTCAGGAGCAGCTGTTGTTGCAGGACCCCCCTGTGACTTACATTCAGCAGTTTGCAGATGCAGCAGCTGGCCTTGCGTCTCCAGATTCTGAGAAGTGGAACTCTGTGTTTCCTAAGCCGGGGACTCTGGTTCAGTGCTTGCGGCTGCCAAAGTTTGCAGAGGAGGAGAATCTTTGTGTAGACTCAATAACTCCCTGTGCTGATGGAATCCATTTGTTGGTAGGGCTGCGGACATGCCCTGTTGAATCCTTGAGTGCAATAAATCAAGTAGAGGCCTTGAATAATTTAAATAAATTAAACTCTGCACTATGTAGTAGACGGAAAGGTGAGCTGGAATCAAATCTCGCTGTAGTGAATGGTGCGAACCTTAGTGTCATCCAACATGAATCACCAGCAGATGTACAGACTCCTTTGATCATTCAGCCTGAGCAGAGGAATGTTAGTGGTGGATACTTAGTGCTTTATAAAATGAATTATGCCACTCGGATAGTGACTTTAGAAGAAGAGCCCATAAAAATCCAACATATCAAAGATCCCCAGGACACAATTACCTCGCTCATTTTGCTTCCACCAGATATATTGGATAATCGAGAGGATGACTATGAGGAACCTGCTGAAGAAATGCAGTTAACCTCAAAGAATGGCATTGAGAGAGAAAGAAAGTCTGACATTTCCACTCTTGGACACCTGGTAATAACCACTCAGGGAGGATATGTAAAAATACTAGATCTTTCAAACTTTGAAATTTTGGCCAAAGTGGAACCTCCTAAAAAGGAGGGCACTGAGGAACAGGACACATTTGTTTCTGTCATTTACTGCTCCGGCACAGATAGGTTGTGTGCATGCACCAAAGGTAAGCTGTTTGTTTTGATTCTTAAATCCATATGTGTGCATTTGTTTATGTGCATACCTAGCATGAATCTTAGATCATATAGATACAGAGGAATGTATTGTTTTGTAATGAAGTGGTGAGATCTTTCTATTGTTTTAACTACTCTCAAAGTCTTTTACAGTTCAGTTTCTAATTGTAAATAAGTCCATCAGTATCTTTGCTTTAACCTCAAGAAGAAAACCTGTGATGGTTTCTTTGAGTTCCGACTCTGCATCTGTTCAAATTACAACTTTGGGCAAATTACTTTAAACTCATTAAGCCTTGTTTCCTTATTTTTGAGTTAGGATAAGAGGACCTATTTCCTAGGCTTGTTAAATTAAATGAAACTTTATATGTTAAATTTCTGACACAGATATTGCTCATTTCTGAAATAAAAATGCTTAAATAGTTACTAGTTTTGTCATATTTTTTGTTTTATTTATTCCTAACATTTGACTGGTGGTGAGTCATTTTTGTGACATTTTAGACCCCATTTAGAATTAACACATGGTGTAACTATTTGTTTTAATATGTAAACATTTTAAATTGGGAAGGTAGCAGTTGCTGAAAAGGATTACTGACAGAGTCAGGTAGACTGAATAGTGCCATTAAAATACAGTAGGAAGGTAGGGCAAGGATGTATGGTGAAGCCTTGATGACTAAAACCAAGGCTGGGCAGAGGAGTGGGGCTTTGAGAAGAGGTACTCATGCTTCTTGTCTGTGGTTCTGGTGAGAACTGGCCCGAGTCTTTTCTTGCATTGAATAGATTTTGAGAGTTTAGCTAAGGAGGATAATGGTTAATGTAGTGGTTTAGATTACCTTTGAACTACATCTAGTGAAAAGACAAGGAAAAGAAAATCTTCAAAAAATATCAAAATCCAGCTAGGTTAATGTAAGAAACTGAGCAGTGCTGAATAAATTTAGTTAATAAAATTTTAAATCAGGGTTGAAAACTTCAAAACCATTAAAATACTATGTGATTTCAGAGATCATTTTAACTTTTTTTTTTTTTTAATTTATGTATTTGAAAGAGTTACAGAAAGAGGGAGTGACAGAGAAAGAGAGAGATCTTTCATCAACTGGTTCACTTCCCAGATGGCCACAGTGGTATAGGCTGGGCTAGGTTGAAGCCAGGAACCAGAAGCCAGGAGCTGCATCCTTATCTCCCACTTGGGTGGCAGGGGCCCAAGGAAGAGGACTGAATCATCTTCTAACGCTTTTCCCAGGCCATTAGCAGGGAGCTGAGTGGGAGGTGCACCAGCTGGGGCTTGAACCAGCGCCCATATAGGATGCTGGCACTGTATGCGGGGTCTTCACTCAACATGTGATGATGGCCCCATTTTAACTTTTTGATCATGTGTGTGTCACTGCACTGCTATAAGAACTTCACAGCTCTCTGCTGTGGCCTGTGAAAGCTGTAGAAGATGGCCAAATGCTTGGGCCCCTGCACCCTTGTGGGAGACTCGGAAGAAGCTCCTGGCTCCTGGCTCCTGGCTTCGGATTGGCTCCGCTCAGGCCTTTGTGGCCATCTGGGGAGTGAATCAGCGGATTGAAGACCTTTGTCTCTACCTCTACCTCTCTCTGTAACTCTTTCAAATAAATAAAATAAATCTTTAAAAAAAAATCTCAGGCTGTTAATGAAATAGATATTACATTTGTCTTTTTTTTTTATGTTTTAAGCTTTTATTTAGTAAGAAAGGTGCATAAGAGAGTGAGAGCTTTATTTAGGGGAGAGAGGTGAATAGGGGTTCATATCAAGCACCAGGAACCAGCCACGTGGATGAGCATCTAGGCCAGGAAGCCTAGAGCACATGGCCCGAAGGCCATGCGCCCTGGAGGCGCGGGGCTACAGCAAGCCCTGTCCTGGCAAGAGGGCAGGGAAGAAGAGCAGGGCCGGGCACACTGTGCCCTAGGCTTTTAACCCACTCCAAAGGGGACTGGTTAATTAACCTGATTGGCTGGTGGGCACCCCGGTGTGGCCAGGTAGGGGAATGAGGCCACACAGGAGCGTGGCAAAGGCATCAGGTAGGAGCATGAGGTCACACAGGGTCGTGGTCTTCCAGTTCACAAATCTGATCAATTTTAGCCCGTATGCCTGCCTATTTCATTCCCCTCTCAGAGACTCCAGACCTTAATCTTAAGGGGATGTTGATGGGCGTCGAGTCTCCATCTTCTGTAGCTACTTCCTGCTGATTAGGGGCGCAGATCCTGCCTGTTCTCGGTCTGGAAGTCTCTGCCTATCTCATCTAATGAGTTCACTTCATGAGCCAGAGCTCTTTCAGTCACTGGCATTCTCAGTGTCTCCTGCATGGTCATTTTTCTCAGGAGCTGCTGGGTTCTACTGGGTTATTTTAGATATAAATGAAGTTCCATTGTCACTCTGGAGTGACCGTGGGAGTCCAAAGTGTGGCACGATGTCTTTCAACAAGGCTTTAAGCACCTCGTGTGCTTTCTCCGTTTGGGTCGAAAAGGCTTCTATCCATCCTGTAAAAGTGTCAGTAAAGATTAGAAGGTACTTATAATTACTTGTAGGGAGCATATTGGTAAAATCAACCTGCCAGTCTACACCTGTTTATGTTCCCCTCCTTTGCACAGGAGTCAACAGGGTAGGTGGCCTTACATGGTGAGGGTTATTCTGTAAACATAGTGGCCAAGAGCGAGTCATTTCCTTTATGACCATATCTGGTCCCTTTCCTCCAAAAGCTTGGGAGACCAGTTGTGCTAAGGCATCTCTTCCCAAGTGGGTAGAGCTGTGTAATTTTCCATTAAGTGGCCATTGGTAGCGTAATTCTTTGATTTAGCATCCACTATCCATTTGCTTTTTAGTATAGCCTTGCTGTTGAGCCCATTAATTTTCAGGCTCCGTATAGTGAGATTCCTTAGCTACTTCCACAGATTGACGTATAAGGGCCATTTCCAAACTTTCCTGTGTAGTTGCTCTATCTACTAACGCATTTCCCTGGTTAATATAATTATCTCCCTTCTGATATCCCTTGCAGTGGCCAACTTCTAAAGACTCCAGTGCTGCCTGAAGTAGAGCCAGTATCTCTTTTCCATATTTAACAGGGTAACTCTTTGCAGTCACTAAGCCCCTCTCTTTCCAGATTGCTGCGTGTGCATGCAACACAAGGAAAGCATATCTGGACTCTATCTATCTATCTATCTGCATATATATATGCTGGCCTTTTCCCAGTTGTAAAGCCCTAGTCAATGCAATAAGCTCTGTCTTTTGGGCTAAAGTATTGTGTGGTAATGCTTGGGCTTCTATCATCTGCCTTTCTAACTCCTTCCTTCAGATAGCTGCTGCCATCAGTAAACCATTCAGCATCTGGACTTTCCAGGGGCTCATCTCGAAGGTCTGGCCTACTAGGGTGCATCTGCCTAATTCATTCCCCCCTCAGAGACTCCATCCCCTTAATCCTAAGGGAGTTGATGGCTGTTGAATCATCTCTTCTGTAACTGCTTCCTGCTCATGAAGGGTGTAGTGCAGACCCTGCCTATCCAGTGTCTGTAAGTCTCTGTCTATCCTGTCTAACAAATTTGCTTTGTGGGTTGGAGCAGTCTCAATCATTGCCAAAGTCTGTGTCCCTGCGTTGTCAATTACTCCCAGAAGTCGAGTTCTAAGGTCTCTGATTGGCTTATAGGAACAGTCAGGAATGTCTTTCACATTCACCTGTGAAAACATCTAGCCCAAAGGGGATTTGCGATCACATAGCAATTTTTAACTGTACCCTTAGAAGTAACTCCATAAGAATGCATGCAGAACTACACCGCTTTACAGTCTCTCTGTAGGACCAAGCACCAGGAACCAGCCACGTGGATGAGCATCTAGGCCAGGAAGCCTAGAGCACATGGCCCGAAGGCCATGCGCCCTGGAGGCGCAGGGCTACAGCAAGCCCTGTCCTGGCAAGAGGCCAGGGAAGAAGAGCAGGCACAGGTCTTTGAGTATATTCAAATAGTATAAAACTCTTTCATAAAAATAAATATACAGTTAATAAATGTTATAATTTTAAGTAAGATTAATACTATAGTAACAATAGATTTGATACAGCTATCTTTGATTAAAATTCAGAAATAGGTTCCTGTGTTGTGGCAAAGTGGATTAAAGCAGCTGTGTGGGATGCCCCCATGCCATATGGAAGTTCTGATTTGATTCCCAACTGCTCCAGTTCTGTCCACCTTTCTTGCTAATGCATGGACTCCATCATCCTTATGGGAGACCCCAGTTGAGTTCTTGTTTCCTGGCTTTGTCCAGTCCAGCTGCTGCAGGCGTATGGGGAGTGAACCAGGGATAGAAAATCATGCTCTTTCTCTGTGTCCCTTTATGTGTCTGTCTCTCTCCACTCCTTTCCTCCCTCCCTCTCTCCTCACCCCTCCCTCACTTTTATGTAGATGAAAATAAACATTTGAAAAATTCAGATACAGTATGTATACCCGTATACACATGAGACTTTATATAAGGTATAAAATAAAATTATGCATTTATTTTAAAAATGATAGTCTAAAATGAAAGGTAGGTGATATTATACTTATTGCATAGTCATTGAAAGTAGAGAGGAAAACTTAAATGACTAGACTAAAATTTTCAGTGTACTGTAAGGATAGGGAAGCAGTTGTGGTACCTGACAAATACTAGTGCATAAAAAATAAAGTTTATTTAAAATATCTCAATTAAAAAGAAGCATATCAGGAAATATAATAATACTGTGTGTGAGTGTGACTGTAATGAGTCACTCTTAGCTGTCTGTATTGATATTCTAAAGAGCTGAGCCATAATTGGTTTAAAAGTCCTTAATAGTCCTACTGTCTGGGATTATTGGTCCTAATATGGTCTCATCTTTGTTATACTAGTAATTTTAGGAGAGAGACTTTCCTGCAGCCTGCTGTTCTTGATTTGCTGAATTTCCATTAGGAATGAATATTGTCTTTTTTCAAATACTTTTTGCATCTCCTGACATGATCATGTTTTTTCATTTAATATT